TCCTCCCCGCCACCCCCCGCACCCCCTCCCACCGAGTGTTTACCCGGCCGGGAGCTGGTGCGCGGCGGCTCCCGCGGGGCGCTGAGAGGAGTGGGGGTTCCCGGGGAGTGGGGGCGGGCCAACGACGAACACGCCAGGAAGGACAAAAGGATGCGGGTCTTCTTCGAGGCCAGATGCTGTGGCAGAAGGTTGGAGGGCAACAGGGTGACCCGAGGACACGGCCTCCCCTGCCAGCCGCAAAACGGGGAGTCCCTTCCCCCACAACCCTTGCGCCCCACTTCGGAGTCCCAGTGCCCAGTTCCTTGGGCCTCACACCTTCCCCCACTCGGTTCGCCCTGGAAGGCCCCTCTCTCCGCTCCCGCGGGGCCTCGGGGTGGAGGCAGTGGGGGGAGAAAGGGGTAGCCCCGCCTCCGGGAGGACAGGGGAGCGCCTTATTACGCCGAGCTCGCCCGGGATGCCCGGCTCTCAGCGTCCGATGTCTCAGCCTCGGACGTCCAGGGTCTGCAGCCCTCTGCCCTCGGGGACCTCCCTTCCAACAACAAGCAGAAGTCCTGGGGAGAGATTGTGGCTTCTGAGCCGAAGAGCAGGCTCCTGGATCCCAAGAGAGAGACTGGAGCAGCCCCAGAGGCCTGGGGGGGGCGGGGGGGGCGCATCTGCCAAGCAGACGGTAACTGTGAGGGGGCAAGGTGCTTTTGAGGAGGGCTTGTTATCCTCGCCCAGAGCCAACAGCACCTGCTCTCTGCCTGGAAATCCCCCTTTGCTCCGAAGAGGCAGCCTAACCACCGAAAAGGGTCAGCCATCCCAAGGTCATGCCACCTGCTGAAGGCAAGGTTAGGAAACACATCTAGGTCGCCTTAGTGAGCTCTCAACGGGCTCAACCTGCTACCTGGCAAGGGGTCCCGTCAATAGTGAAGAAGTACCCTCAGGTTCACTCTCCCCTTAATTCTAGAACTCTGGATGGATGCAGAGCTAGAAAGAAGAAGGGAGTTAGTGATACAACATCTGGTAGAGGGGCTGCCTGAGAGAAGCCAGCCCAGCTCCCTCCCCAAACTGGATTAAAAGGTCGCCTGGCCTCCAGAAATCAGAGACACCTTGGGGGAAAATGGGAGGAAGGGACCTGAGGAACAGGAAACAGAGGCAGTGTGGCAGATGGAATGAGTGGGACCTCTGGAGTCAGGCGTGGGCTTAAATACCAGCCCTGTCATTTGCTAGCTGTTTGACTTTGGGCAAGTCATGTCCCCTCTCTGAACCTTCATAATTTCAGCTGTAAAGTGGTGTTTGTGACTAGCTAGCTGCCTGTACCAAAGGACTGCTATAAAATCTAAACATCAGGTTCTCACTGCCTGGCTGGAGAGTGAATGTGCACTAAACATTTGAGAAATGACTTAGAAATGAGTGAGAAAGAACAGTATCATTTCGTCCACTCCATCAGAGCTAGGCAGATCCTTAGAGGTGACCGAGTCCATCCCCTCATTTACATATGGGGAAACTGAAGCCCAGAGAGGGTCAGGGGCTTGCCCCAAATCCTACAGCTTGTCAATGGCTGAAGCGGCAGGTCTCCTGCCTCCCTTTGCTACACTCTGCAAGCCGCCTGTCTCCATTCATCAAGGCTTTCTGTGTCTGCTTTGAGGTTAGCACCAGGCCAAGTGCTGGAAGAGAAAACAAAAGCATAACAAGCAAGATGATAAAGTTACAACAAGAAGCTCTACATTTATATCATGCTTTCTGTCCCCCACCCCAAAGCATTTCACATCCATTATTGACCTTGCTTCTCAAAATAAATACTTTTTGAGATAGAAAGAGGAGACGTTGCATCCCTATTTAACTGATGTAGCAGGAAAGAGGGTAAGCGACTTGCCAAGGTCACAGGCTAGTGATGGAGCCAGGAGAAGCCACTTTCCCCAGCTATGATTCCAGATTCCTGTAGGGGAAACCCTGCAGTGGTGACAGCATGCAGAGCTGGGACCCAGTCATCTTCTACTCACCTGGCTCCTTCCTTGCTGCTGAGTTATGAAGCAATTTGCATGTTGAGTGCCTACCACAGTCCCACTGTACAAAAAGTACAGAGCTAAAAGGTACAGAGAGGGCTTATGAATCCTGCTCACACAGCAAACAGGTATAAGCTGAGTTATGAAGCAATTTGCATGTTGAGTGCCTACTACAGTCCCACTGTACAAAAAGTACAGAGCAAAAAGGTACAGAGAGGGCTTATGAATCCCTGCTCACACAGCAAACAGGTATAAGAGAAGCAGTGTTTTTATGTTTACTTTGCCTTGTTCCAACAAGGTTAAAGGTGGCAGTGCCACACCTTCCCAAATCAGTACACACCCCCTTATAGAACCACACAGCCCTCCCAGGCACATGGCGCTTTACAGTTAGAAAAGCATTTCCATGACTATTACCTCCTTAGAGCCTCCCCATTCAAATCCCTACATCGTCATTTCCTAACTCAGTGATCATTTCACCTCTTTATTCCTCAGTTTCCTCGTCTGTCAAATGGGGATAATAATTATTCCTACTTGGTTTATTCTGGGGAAGGAGGTGGACCATATGCTGATGCATCGTAAGTCCTCAATAAACGGACTTATTATTAGCTATTGACTCTCTTTGTGGCTTTGAATAAGCTAATTCTTTCCTCTAGGCCTCTGACTCTACATCATAAATTGGGAAACTTGGAGAAAATCCTTTTTTATTTCAGCTGCAAAATCAGCCAGTTCTGCCAAATCTAGTTAAAATCTGCTTGAGGCAAAGGTGGGGGGTGCCCCCCACCCCGCCAAAGCTCACCTAGAAGCTTCTTCACCTACCCTTAGAACTTTGTAGAATTAAGAACCACAGCGCTCGCCCATCTCCCTGGGCCCTTTCAGCACAGACATTCTAGGCTCAAAAATCTGTATTTGCAACCCCCTGCTGTGCACTGGGCCCCACACTAGTGCAGGAAAGGGGTGAGTCGCCGTGCCCACCATAGAGTAGATGCTCAACACACATTAGCTCCCTTTGTTTCCTTCTTCTTCCTGTCCAGATGGGGAAACCGAGGCACCCGCAGCAGCATCAGAGATCTCAACACACATTAGCTCCCTTTGTTTCCTTCTTCTCCTTCCTGTCCAGATGGGGAAACCGAGGCACCCACAGCAGCATCAGAGACTTCAAGAAGAACATGGCTATTGGATGCCTCAGCCCTGGTGCAAGGCACCAGCTTGCAGCTCAGGCCCAGGATCCCATAGAGGCAGAGCCCTGGGTATGCCGAGTTTTGCCAGGGCTGGCTAGGACCCAAGTGGCCATCAGGGAAGGCCAGGATGGAGTGCCACATCGGTGGCCACCTGGTCACCTCTAGAGAAGCTAAGTGGCCTCCCATTAGGGGACCACCAATCTGAGCCGAGGCTGGATAAAAACCCACATCGCCCCCATCCCTCTCAACTCAGAAACTGTACCCTTGGTGCAGCCAATTCCCTACCCACTTTGAAAGGCAGGGCTTCTGTCTCCGCCTCCCCACAACACAACACAAACACACACAGTGAGAGAGAGCATGTTAACTGACTGGAGGTGGCTTAGACCTACAGTCAAGGAACAATAAGAGAAGAATCGTCCTCTTTCCTTTGTTCAGCAAACATCTATTGAGGACTTTTGCAGCAGGCACAGTCCTTCCCCCAATACAACTCAATAAATATTAGATTCTTTTGTTTGTTTAATCAGCCAGACCTTTTCTTCAAATAAAATCTCACAAGGAACCTCAAAAGATAAACAACAGATAAAGGGCAAGCTGCTGGGGAAATAGGGACTCAGGGCCCCACCCTTTCGATCCTCCATACTCTAGTCGGTCCCCAAAGGGTCTCAAAAGAATGCCCAGTGTGCTACCGGGCTCAATATGAAACCACCTCAAGCCATGTAGTTCAGCCCCCTCCCGTTACAGGTGGGGAAAACAGCCCAGACAGGGCAGGAT